GTTCATTTCAAGTGTGCTATTTGCATTTGGAATTTGTTGCTGTCAACTCTCAAGATGAGATCCAAAGAGCTGTCACTATCAGTGAAGCAAGCCATCATTAGGCTGAAAAAAACAAAACAAACCCATCAGAGAGATAGCAAAAACATTAGGCACGGCCAAAACAACTGTTTGGAACATTCTTAAAAAGAAGGAACGCACCGATGAGCTCAGCAACACCAAAAGACCCGGAAGACCACGGAAAACAACTGTGGTGGATGACCGAAGAATTCTTTCCCTGGTGAAGAAAACACCCTTCACAACAAATGGCCAGATCAAGAACACTCTCCAGGAGGTAGGTGTATGTGTGTCAAAGTGAACAATCAAGAGAAGACTTCACCAGAGTGAATACAGAGGGTTCACCACAAGATGTAAACCATTGGTGAGCCTCAAAAACAGGAAGGTCAGATTAGAGTTTGCCAAACGACATCTAAAAAAGCCTTCACAGTTCTGGAACAACATCCTATGGACAGATGAGACCAAGATCAACTTGTACCAGAGTGATGGGAAGAGAAGAGTATGGAGAAGGAAAGGAACTGCTCATGATCCTAAGCATACCACCATCAGTGAAGCATGGTGGTGGTAGTGTCACGGCGTGGGCATGTATGGCTGCCAATGAAACTGGTTCTCTTGTATTTATTGATGTGACTGCTGACAAAAGCAGCAGGATGAATTCTAAAGTATTTCGGGCAATATTATCTGCTCATATTCAGCCAAATGCTTCAGAACTCATTGGACGCCGCTTCACAGTGCAGATGAACAATGACCCAAAGCATACTGCAAAAGCAACCAAAGAGTTTTTTAAGGGAAAGAAGTGGAATGTTATGCAATGGCCAAGTCAATCACCTGACCTGAATCCGATTGAGCATGCATTTCACTTGCTGAAGACAAAACTGAAGGGAAAATGCCCCAAGAACAAGCAGGAACTGAAGACAGTTGCAGTAGAGGCCTGGCAGAGCATCACCAGGGATGAAACCCCACGTCTGGTGATGTCTATGCGTTCCAGACTTCAGGCTGTAATTGACTGCAAAGGATTTGCAACCAAGTATTAAAAAGTGAAAGTTTGATTTATGATTATTATTCTGTCCCATTACTTTTGGTCCCTTAACAAGTGGGAGGCACATATGCAAACTGTTGTAATTCCTACACTGTTCACCTGATTTGGATGTAAATACCCTCAAATTAAAGCTGACAGTCTGCAGTTAATGCACATCTTGTTCGTTGCATTTCAAATCCATTGTGGTGGTTTATAGAGCCAAAAATGTTAGAATTGTGTCGATGTCCCAATATTTATGGACCTGACTGTAGTACAGGAGATGACCAGAGACTGCGGACACAGTGCAGGAGATGACCAGAGACCGCGGACACAGTGCAGGAGATGACCAGAGACCGCGGACACAGTGCAGGAGATGACCAGAGACCGCGGACACAGTGCAGGAGATGACCAGAGACCGCGGACACAGTGCAGGAGATGACCAGAGACCGCGGACACAGTGCAGGAGATGACCAGAGACCGCGGACACAGTGCAGGAGATGACCAGAGACCGCGGACACAGTGCAGGAGATGACCAGAGACCGCGGACACAGTGCAGGAGATGACCAGAGACCGCGGACACAGTGCAGGAGATGACCAGAGACCGCGGACACAATGCAGGAGATGACCAGAGACCGCGGACACACTGCAGGAGATGACCAGAGACCGCGGACACACTGCAGGAGATGACCAGAGACCGCGGACACACTGCAGGAGATGACCAGAGACCGCGGACACACTGCAGGAGATGACCAGAGACCACGGACACACTACAGGAGATGACCAGAGACCGCGGACACACTACAGGAGATGACCAGAGACCGCGGACATAGTACAGATGACCAGAGACTGTGGACATAGTACAAGGAAAATACCAGGGACATAGTACAGATGACCAGAGACTGCAGACAGTAAAGGAGTTGACCAAAGACTGCGGACCTTTGGGGAGGGAGGTGGAGCGGGTACCTGAATTTGACAGGTACCCACTCCCACTTCGGCAGAATTGTCCTTCCCTCTTCTTCCCACGTCGGCTTCTGTGACAGCCGGGTGCCCACTGCGCATGCTCGAGAAGCGCTGCGCTTTCTGAATGGCCCGGTGCCTTCTGGGACCTGTCATGTGTCTCAGAAGACACCGGACCATTCACAAAGTGCAGCGCTTCTCGTGCATGCACAGTGGGCACACGGCTGTCACACAAGCCGGCGCAGGAAGACTGTACAGCGCTGGAGCGAGGAACAGGTAAGGTCCTTCAGGAGAGAAGAGCTGAGTGGCCGGCCCGATATTCTGACATGGTGGAGGCAGAAATACCGGACCGGCCGCTTTATATTCGCTCCATAAGATGCACTGACATTTTCCCCCCTTTTTTGGGGGGGAAAAAGTGCGTCTTATGGAGCGAAAAATACGGTAGTTACCTTGTAAAGCAGAACTAAAGACTAATGTTAAATAAGTGTGAACAGGCCGGCTTGTTATTGCAGGAGAGACATACAATAATTCTTACCTGCCTGTTCATAATTCTGTGCAGAATGAACAAGGTGCAGCTCATGCACAGCTCCATCTACAGAAACAGCTGCTGATTCAATTGTACAATTGCTGCCTTGGTACATGGCCCCATTACCCCTAAAGTGCAATTTTTAGCCCTGGATAGGGTTCATTCAATCCAAGGAGTGGTGACCTTAATAAGTCTCTCTTACAAAGAGAACGTAGATGGATTTTTAACTTAAAACGCCACTACACCCCACACTACAACTCTAAATTTTGGACCTTTTCTTTAGGGCTTCTCTTCAAGGGGATGTGAACTAGGCCTCTAGGTAGGACCTATTGTTGCTAGTATATAATTGTGTTTTTCACCACATTGTTTGATTTATTTCTCCTTGATGTGTCTTTTGCCGTTTTGTTATTTTCTGTTTTCTATCAGCAGTGATATTGATCGTGCCCAATAGCAGACCTTCAAACTCTTCCTTTATGCTCACTATACAAACACGTATTATCTTTTACAAATTGTATATATATGCTGTAGTATTCATATGCCATGTAAGGCAATATGTATCTCATCTATGAATAACTGTTGTAATGTGGGGCTGCATCTCTGCCTTGTGTCTCCTGGACTCCGCTGGATTTGTCTTTTTTTTTTTTGTTTTGTTTTAACGCATTTTATTTTTGTTTCACTTTGTTCTTCTTTTGTTTTGTTTCTGGTCCTCTCTTCCACTTGGCGTGTGTGGGCTCCCCTTTTTGCTCCCCCCGTTGGGGTGCAGTGGGAACCCATCGGTGGTGGGTGGGACCAGGGGCATTCCCTCGGTCGTGCTCTTTGGCCCCTTTCTCCCACTGCGGCATACACTCCCTCCCTGAGTGTGTTGGCCCTCTGACGTGCGCCAATGCCGTGGCGATGTGTGACATCATCCCGTCCTAATCGCCGCACACCACCGACGTCAGGGGATCCCAGCATGGATGCTGCCATTTGACTGTTTATTAGCAGGCATCGTCCTTTTTTTCCCCCCACATGACATTGATTGGCTTACACGAGCTGCCATATTTATTGAGGATACTCCCCTACATACTTTCCTTTCTGGCATATGATCACCTAGGTAAATCTACCATACTTCCCCCGGAACTGGCAAGCCCCTTTGGCATTCATTAACAATCTCGCAGGCTTTCTAGATTTTCTCTTATTTCATTTACGTTGGCCTCATGCAATAAGTGTTTTTGACCATCATAGATTATTCACCCCTTCTCTATTCTTTTTTTGTGACCAGCAAGTATGCAGTAGAGCAGCTTTACTCCTGCATTGTACATTTTTATGTACTTTTCTTGTAACTCTACAGACATTCGAATGCACCTTGTGGGGTTTTCAGGGATCCTTGTGGCAGTTGGACGGACCTTTTGGGGTCACGGCCTTGAGGCTTCCTGTCGGCGCTGGCAGATTTCAGCCTCATAAGATCTACCCTGGGTTATCCTCATGTGTAATGTTACGTATACTGATCATGTAAGTGTAGACTAAAACTTATTTTTCGGCACCATTATATATATTTGCTGGGTTTTTTTGGATTGTTCTTATAGGATTGCTTTTGTCAATATATGATTGATTTTTGTGTGTTACATTTTAGAGTTGATGTTCCCAGTCCTTCCCCCCTGAAGAAGGGCTTACTCTCCAAAACATGTAGGGTTTTGGGATCTATTGAAGAATACACCCTTACTGACCAAGCTATGTTCCACGATTGGCAGTTTTTGTATGGTGTATATTTATGTTTATTTGGGTACAGCTAGCATGTTATGTCAGCTAAGCTTCATATTTTACTATATATAAAGATCAGAATATTTTATTGGTCTATTTTATTGTGTTCGTTCCATGTGTATGCAATAAAGAATGACAAGTTTTAGATGATACACTCCATTGTACTTCTGTCTAAAAGTTCCAGGGGGGCTATGGGATCTAGTTTTGCATTCATTAAAAGACATATGGTTCCACTACTACAGGTTTTAAGTCTCTATGCCATCACTAAAAATGTCCTCATCACAGCTCATGTTTTGGGACAACCTAAAGTGGATACATCATATATCAACATCCATGTGAATCAAACAGGCCTATACCAAAGTTGTCAGTTTATATCTACATTATTAGGGGAAAAAAAAAAAAAGGACACAGAGTGCAGCTCGGGAGCAAACCCTTACAAGTGCCCCCATAGCAAGCGGCTTGATATGAGGGAACTCTGCAGGAGCCAGAAGCACTGGTGGTTGACCCGAGAAGGGGAGGATCGGGGCTGCTCTATGCAAGACCATTACACAGTTATGTATCACACAACTGTCATTTTAAATAAAATAAAACATTTTAGGTTTAGAATCATTTTAATATTATATTTGTTCTGCTGAAGCATTACAGTACAGGTTGCCCAAAAGCAAAAAATAGACCACAACAATGTAAATAAATTAAGTTACTCACAAGAGGCTTCCATCCTTGTCTGATTGTGTCTCTCTGGAATGATCCTGGGAGGACAGAGTAGAAAACCGATTTTGGTTAGAGAAGGATCCTGCAGAGGAGCCTGAATTGTATGGTCTGCTTCTGTTATCATGGGAATCAGAATGCGGTGCATAGGATGTCTGGCTGTTATCCCTGGTCCATGTTGTAGACTTGGAAAAATTAGAAGGCTGTACATATCTCTGGTTGGATGATGTCCATGTTCTAGAACCAGCTTAAAAATAAACAAATAATTATATATATTGTATAATAATAATATTATACACACACACACTATATTGCCAAAAGTATTGGGACGCCTGCCTTTACACACACGAACTTTAATGGCATCCCAGTCTTAGTCCGTAGAGTTTAATATTGAGTTGGCCCACCCTTTGCAGCTATAACGCCTTCAACTCTTCTGGGAAGGTTGTCTACAAGGTTTAGGAGTTTGGCTATGGGAATGTTGGACCATTCTTCCAGAAGCGCATTTGTGAGGTCAGACACTGATGTCAGACAAGAAGGTCTGACTCGCAGTCTCGGCTTTAATTCATCCCAAAGATGCTCTTTCGGGTTGAGGTCAGGACTCTGTGCAGGCCAGTCAAGTTCCTCCACCCCAAACTTGCTCATCCATGTCTTTATGGACCTTGCTTTGTGCACTGGTGTGTATGTCATGATGGAACAGGAAGGGGCCATCTCCAAACTGTTCCCACAAAGTTGGGAGCATTAAATTGTCCAAAATGTCTTGGTATGCTGATGCCTGAAGAGTTCCCTTCACAGGAACTAACGGGCCAAGCCCAACCACTGAAAAACAGCCCCACACCATATTCCCTTCTCCACCGAAAACTTTACACTTGGCACAATACAACCAGGCAAGTACCATTCTCCTGGCAACCTCTAAACCCAGACATGTCCATTGCATTGCCAGACAGTGAAGCATGATTTGCCACTCCAGAGAACATGTCTCTATTGCTTGAGTCCAGTGGTGGCAATGCTTTGCATTGCACTTGGTGATGTAAGGCTTGGATGCAGCTGCTGAGCCATGGAAACCCATTCCATGAAGCTCTCTATGCACTGTTGTGCTAATCTGAAGGCCACATGAAGTTTGGAGGTTTTTAGCTATTGACTCTGCAGACAGTTGGCGACATCTGCGCACTGTGCGCTTCAGCATGCGCTGACCCACTCTGTCATGTTACGTGGCCTACCCCTTCGTGGCTGAATTACGGTTGTTCCCAGGTGCTTCCACTTTGTTAGAATACCACTTTTGTTTCTCTTCTTCCTCTCCTTCCCCTCCTTACGATACCCCCTCCATATTTCCGCTCTAAGGGGTCGGTAGAAATTTACTGAGTCAATTGGTTAGAGAGAGGGTAACTGGGGAGGTTGAGGGAAGGGAGAGCCGTTCATGGGCAACCTCAAAATTTTAATTCAAAGGTGGGAATAGGCCCACAAATGATTAGTAGGCATTTTACAAGCCTAAAAAATGGGAGGGAGAAAAAATGGGAGGGGGATGGGCGGGAGGTGATAGATGGGAAGAGGGGTGGGTAGGGAAGCTGGAAGGGAGGTGGTGTGGGTGGGGCTTTAGGGACAACACTCTGCATGATAGAAGGAGGTATAAAAGCAGTGATACAAGAAGTATGGAAGATTTACGGTTTATAACATATAATGTAAAGGGTTGAATTGCCCTGGGAAGAGATTTAAGCTATTCAAAGTTGCAGCATAGAGAAGCTTCGGTGGCTTTTTTGCAGGAGACACATCTTAAGATTAATTAAAATATTAAGTTGTATTCTAGAAATTACCCAACATGGTTTTATTCAGATTCCCCAATTAAGAGAGCTAAGGGAGTAGCAATAGGGTTTGCAAAAAACATAAGGTTGGAGATAGAAGTAGATCCTGAGGGGAGATTTTTGTTTTTGAAAGGTAGATTGCAAGAGCAGGAATGTACAATCGCGTTTATTTCCCAAATAAGAGACCGGAGGTATATTTGAAAGGTGTTGTGAGAAAACTGATGGCCTTCGAGACGCTTGATAGTGGCAGGGGACTTGAATTTTTGTATGGATACACAAATGGATACGACCTCTTCTGTGCAGCGAGAGGGAGGTAGGTCTCTGAGAACTTTATAGAAGGTGATACATGAGTGCCAACTGGTGGATATTTGGAGAATAATACATGGAAAAGAGAGAGACTATACCTTCTTCTCTAATGCACACGAGATGTATTCGAGATTGGACTATATATTGGTAGATCATCAACTTATAAAGATGGTGGATAAAGTAGAAATAGAGGCAATGTCTCTCTCAGACCATGCCCCTGTTACATTGAAATTATGGTGGGGGAGACGATGGACAGGTGGTATAGGATGGAAGTTGAATGAGGCTCTTCTCCTGGATCAGGAGATTGATCAGAAGATTAGAGAAGAGATTGAAAGATTTTTTCAGGAGAACGAGACAGGGGAAGTGTAGGTGGCTACAGTATGGGAGTCCCATAAGGCCTACATAAGAGGTATATTGATCGCGTCCAGGGCAAAAAAGAAAAGGGAAAGAAGAGAGAAACTTACTGGGCTGTTAAAATAAATATTTTACCTGGAGCAGATACATAAAAATAGAACAAAAGAGACAAGACAGAAGGTAATAAAAAAGAAAGAAGAACTAGGGATATTGATGGAGGAGAAGAAGAGAAGAGTTTTTAATAGAGTTGCAAGTGAGAGGTATAGATGGGGAGATAGACTAGGAAAATATTTAATGAGAGCCTTGAGGAAAAAGAAAAACAGGAATTATATAGAAAAAATAAGAAACCCCAAGGGAGAAACGGTTTATTCTACTAAAGAGATCGTCAAGGTGTTTAAAGAATATTATAGTAAGTTGTATAATATTACTTCCCAGGATTCAGTAAATAAAAGTGGAAATGAGAATAGAGAAAAAAAGAAGGGTATATTTAAAAAATGCAGGACTACCGAAGTTAAGTGAAGATCAACTGAATTCCCTTGATTTAGAAATTACGCAGGAGGAAATAAAAATAGCATTAAAAAGTACCATGATGGGGAAAAGCCCAGGCCCAGATGGTTATACTGTGAGGTACTATAAAAAATATAGTGACTTGTTAATACCTAAACTGAAGAAATATATGAACGCCCTGGGTGGGGAGATGGAGATGAGGTGGGAATATTTACAGGCCCATGTGGTGCTTATTCAAAAGGAAGGGAAGGATGTTTCTCAGTGCTCTAGCTATAGACCAATATCACTTTTGAACATAGACACTAAGTTATATGCAAAGGTTTTCGCAAATAGGCTGAAAGATTTAATGCCAAAATGGATCCAGGGGGACAAGGTGGGATTTGTACCAGGGAGGGAGGGTAGAGACAATGGGTTGAGAACTTTGTTGCTTATCCAGAAAGCTAGAAAGGAGAAAACTCCGGTAGTGGTGCTTTCGATCGATGCTGAAAAGGCATTTGATAAGAGTAGATTGGAGCTTTATGATGGACACTCTGGAGACTCTAGGACTGGGAGTTAGAATGAGAGAGTGGATAGGAAAATTGTATAGAGAGCCCTCCACGGTTATCTTGGTTAACGGTGAGAGGTCGGAACCTATTGGTATGTCAAATGGAACAAGACAGGGATGTCCACTGTCCCCATTGTTGTATGTATTATCATTGGAACCTTTACTGGCAACAATTAGGAAGAATATGGACATAAAAGGAATACAGATAGGAGGAACTGAACATAAAGTAGCAGCCTTTGCGGATGACCTGTTGTTCTATGTGGGAAATCCTAGGATAACACTCCCAAATTTAAGGAAGAGCCTAAAGGATTATGGGGAGCTATCAAATCTGAAAATCAACCCAATAAAAACTGAGATCTTAAAATGTAAATCTTCCAAATAGTGAAAAAGAAAAGATACAAAAAGAATTCCCTTTTATATGGAAAGATAGAGAGATAAAATATCTAGGGGTTAAACTTACTGCTTCATATACGAACTTGTATAATCAAATTATATCTCACTTTTAAATGAGATCAAGTAGGAATTAAGGAAATTGAGAAGAGGTAATCCGTCTTGGATAGGGCGTATAAATCTGATAAAAATGGTAATTGTACTAAAATCCTGTATAAATTCCAGATGATTCCAGTTAAACTTCCGGAGGTTTTTTTCAAGGTAATTAAAAAGATATTAACAAGATACGTATGAAAAAATACAAAAACCTAAAATATCTTATGATTTGTTGAGTAGAAATAAAGAGAAGGGAGGATTGGGAGTGCCAGATATTAAGAGGTATTATAGAGCAGCAGTTCTAGCAAGATTTAAAAAAAAAAAAAAAAAAAAAAAAGAACCTTCTATGGCCCTGTCCAGCTCTCCTAGAGTCCTCCATGCTCTTGAGATTGTGCTGGGAGACACAACAAACATTCTGGCAATGGCACGTATTGAGGGGCCACCCTGGAGGAGTTGGACTACATGTCCAAACTCTGTAGGGTCAAGGTAGTGCTTCATGCGACCAGTAGTTGCACTGACCCTAGCCAAATACAAAACAGTCAGAAAAGATGAGTAGGGATAAAATGTCAGTGGCCTCCACCTGTAAAACCATTCCTGTTTTGGGGGTTGTCTCATTGTTACCCATCTAGTGCACCTGTTAATTTCATTAACACCAAAGCAGCTGAAACTGATTAACAACCCCCTCTGCTACTTAACTGACCAGATCAATATCCCAGGAGTTTGACTTTATGCTATGATTAAAAAGTGTTCCTTTCATTTTTTTTTTTTTTTATATATACATACACACACACATTTTATATATATATATATATATATATATATATATATATATATATATATATATATATATATATATATATATATATATACATACATACATACATACATACACACACACACACTCACTGGCCGCTTTATTAGGTATACCTTGCAAGAAAATATACCTTGCAAAATTACACCACCAGTCTGAAACGTTGATAGAAGGCAGGATGGATCCATGCTTTAATGTTATTTACATAAAATTCCGACCCTACCATCTGAATGTCGCAGCAACCAGTCTGCCCATTCTCTGCTGACATCAACAAGGCATTTTCGTCCAAACAACTGCTGCTCACTGGAGATTTTATCTTTTTCAGACCATTCTCTGTAAACTTTAGAGATGGGACTAAATTGGGGCCCCATTCTACTTGTCCCTCATGACAATCTACTTGGCCAGAGTAAAAAAAAAAAAAATTTAACCAAAACCGTATTTAA